TGATAGAGCAAGGATTTATAATAAAACTTAACTAGTCGATGGAGCTCATTCGAATCGATTATATAGTTTATTACATACTCGACCATGACCAGAACAAGTTCGACTAAATAAATAGTCTTTGAAGAAGGACAGAATCAATCGACAAAAGAAAAATTGAAAAATCAGTAAAACTAAACTATACAAATAAACATGCATTTACAAATACAAAATGGAACAAACAGGAAAGGAAGAATACCTCAAGAACTCGGAAACTGGACGACCCTGACTTGGATTCTGAATCGGACTCTTTGAGGTCGAACGGACCTTACTAAGGTCGATTAGACCCCCAAATCATCCTTTAATTTGGACAGACTTCAACTTTTGGTTTTCTAGGGTTCTTGGGGGTTCGATTTGGGGTTTGAATGGTTCTAGCAAGATTCGAACCAGGCCATAGGTATTTTGGGCACGAGGGAGGTCAGGGGGTGCCGTGGTGTGAGTTTGGGACTGGTTTGGGTAGGTTCAGGTTCTGCTCGAATCTTCGATTGAAGATTCGAGAAGCTGGAGGTTGATTCGAGACAAACGGTTAACGGATCCGTAAAGAGGAAGGCATGGAGGTTCAGCGGTGTTAATTTGGCAGTCATCGGAGTCGGCTCCGCCGGGTTTTCTGGCGAAGGGAACAAGGGCGGCTAGGGTTTAGGGGGTCATCTCTGAGAGAGACGATAAATTGGGGGGTCTGGTTTGGGGGGGCTGGGTAGAGATTAACGTTATATAGGGAGGGGTGGTTTAATCTTGGCCGTTGGATCAAGCACGATCAACGGCCTGGATCAATTCATTTAAAGGAAACGGTGACGTTTGGTCATGAATTGAGACCGGGTCGACCCGGATTGAAATGGATCGGGTTATGGGGGAAGGCTGGGACCGTTAGATCATTGGGAACAGACGGATCGGATCAACTTGCCTAAAATGGCGTCGTTTCAAATAATGTTGGGTTGAACTGAACCGTCTAATGGAAACAAATCAACGGCTTAGATCTGAGGCACCGAAACGACGTCGGTTGGACTGTCTGAGAGACCAGGCTTATTGGATTGGATCGTTTGATATGATTTGGGCCTAATTTTGCATTGAAATTGGCCCAGTTCCGATTTGGTCCAATTTTTCACTCTTTTCTTCTTCTTCTTTTTCATTTTCTTTTAATTCCTAAAACCTAAAATTCCTAAATTGTAAAACCAAGCTTATTTTAAAGAGATATTGATTAACCCTTAACAATAATTAACACACAATATCAAATAAAAATAAAATCACACAATTAAACAATAAAAATGACAAAGCTACCAAAATTCATATTTTTGTGATTTTCATTCTTTAAAATAGGACATGGTTTAATTAATTCAAAAATGCAAAATTAAATCCTAAATATGTATGCAACATATATTTTGGTATTTTTCAATTAATTAAAACAAGATAAACATTCACAGACAAAAATAATTATCCAAAATATCACGCAAAATTCTCAAAATTGTACCCAAAGGCAATTTGTTTTATTTTTCAATTTCTTTTGGAGTAGTTTTCGTGAAGCAAAAATCACATGCTCACAAACATATGTCGGATATACTCAATCAATTGGTAGATTTGATATCCTTGAACCGTCGAACTTTGGTGTATACCTAGCTAGCCATATGTCACACAATCAACCCTTAACCGTCTTTGGTTCTCATTGTTGTGTTCGTTTCAGCCATGAACACCCTCCGGTTTCATAAGTGCGTAGAGAACTGGCCTTTACACCATTCTCCTTGAAGCGGCTTACACTTCACACTCATATAGGTGATTCCTAAATGTGTTATCCCGTAGATACACTATTTGATATACCTCATATCAAACTTAGAAACCATTAAAAAGTCCTTACACTTTATCTTTGGTACTGATTATTGTCTTCATCATGAGAATGGACCAAAATTTTATTTGACAATGTTGAATCGTCACTAATGACTTTGTTTGATCTCCTTGAACCTAGATCTTGGGATCTCCAGTCTTCTAGATAGAGTTACTGCCATAGTGACTTGTCCTCGGCCATAGTCCTATTCCCTTTGATGACTTCTCAACCGCCTCTTTGGGTAGGCCTTTTGTAAGCGGATCTGATACATTATCTTTTAACTTTACATAGTCAATTGTGATAAAACCACTAGAGAGTAGTTGTCTAATGGTATTATGTCTTCGACGAATATGACAAGATTTTTTGTTATACATAACGCTCCTAGACCTTCTTATTGTTGCTTGACTGTCACAATGTATGCATACAGGTGCCATAGGTTTGGGCCAAAATGGAAAGTCTTCTAAGAAATTCTGGAGCCATTCAGCTTCTTCACCGGCCTTGTCTAAAGCTATAAATTCAGACTTCATAGTAGAGCGGGGCGATGCATGTCTGTTTGGACGACTTTCAAGACACTGCTCCTCCACCAATGGTAAAAATATATCCACTTGTGAATTTTGATTCCGTTGATCCGGTGATCCAATTTGGATCACTATATACCTCAACAACTACGGGATAATTATTGTAATGCAATACATATTCTTGAGTATATTTTAAATATCCCAAAACTCATTCCATTGCTATCCAATGAGCTTGGTTGGGATTACTTATGTATCGACTAAGCTTACTTATTGCACAAGCTATATCAGGTCGTGTACAATTCATAATGTACATCAAACTTTCCAACACTCGAGCATATTCCAATTGAGATTTGCTTTGACCCTTGTTCTTTACAAGAGTATGGTTTAAATCAATTGGTGTTTTTGCTTCTTTAAAGTCCAAATATCTGAAATTTTCAAGAACCATTTTAATATAATGAGTTTGAGACAAAGCTAGACCTTGAGAAGTCAGTCTGTAGGATCTTAATTCCCAAAATTAAATCGGCAACTCCTAAGTCTTTCATATCAAACTTACTAGTAAGCATGCGCTTAGTAGCACTTATGTTAGCAATGTTGTTACTCATTATCAACATATCATCCATATATAAACAAATAATGACTATTTGATTTGGAGTATTCTTAATGTAAATACATTTGTCACACTTATTTATCTTGAAACCATTTGACAACATTGTTTGGTCAAATTTAGCATGCTATTATTTTGGTGCTTGTTTTAGTCCATAAAGTGACTTAACAAGTCGACACTCCTTCTTTTCTTTTCCGGGAACTACACACCCTTCAGGTTGTTCCATATAGATTTCTTCCTCTAAATCTCCATTTAAAAAGGCTATCTTTACATTCATCTGATGGATTTGAAGGCCATACACAGCGGCTAACACTATTAACACTTGGATAGATGTAATCCTTGTTACTGGCGAGTATGTGTCAAACTAATCAAGACCTTCGCATTGTCTAAACCCTTTAACAACTAATCTTGACTTATATTTGTCAATAGTTCCATCAGCTTTCATTTTCCTTTTGAAAATCCATTTAGAACCCAAAGGTTTATTTCCCAGAGCAAGATCAACCAATTCCCAAGTATGATTACTTAATATGGATTCTATCTCACTATTGACTGCCTCTTTCCAATATTGTACTTCCGAGGAAGACATTGCTTTTTTGAACGTTTGAGGCTCATTTTCCAATAAGAATGCCATAAAATCCGGTCCAAAGGAAGTAGTTGTCCTTTGATGTTTACTACGTCTTGGATTTTCCTCATCAAACGTACTTTCTTTTGCTTCTTCCTGAGGTCGCTTAGATTTTTCCTTAGACGACTCACATTCCATTTTATACGGATAAATATTCTCAAAGAATTTAGCATTATCCGATTCAATTACCGTATTAATATGAATGTCGGAATTTTCTAATTTATGAACCCGAAAACGATATGCCTTACTATTTGTTGCATATCCTACGAAAACACAATCAATGATTTTTGATCCAATTTTTACTCTTTTGGATTTAGGAACTTTCACTTTAGTCAAACACCCCCACACTTTAAAATATTTTAAGTTGGGTTTCCTTCATTTCTATTTTTCATATGGAATGGATTGCATTTTTCTATGGGAAACTCGATTCAGTATTCGGTTTGCTGTAAGAATAGCTTCCCCTCACAAGTTCTGAGGTAAGCCAGAACTTATTAACAAGACATTCATCATCTCTTTTAACGTTTTATTCTTTCTTTCCGCAATTCCATTAGATTGTTGTGAGTAAGGGGCATTTGTTTGGTGAATAATGCCATTTTCAAAACATATTTCTTCAAAAGGAGATTCATATTTGCCGCCCTTATCACTTCTTATCATTTTGATTTTTTTATTTAGTTGCGTTTCAACTTCATTTTTGTATTTCTTGAATGCATCAATTGCTTCATCTTTACTATTAAGTAAGTAAATATAGCAATATCCAGTACTGTCGTCAATAAAAGTTATGAAATACTTTTTCCCATCGCGAGATGGTATTGACTTCATGTCGCAAATATCTGTGTAAATTAAGTCTAAAGGATTTGAATTCCTTTCAACTAGCTTATAAGGATGCTTAACATACTTTGATTCCATACATATTTGACATTTCGAGTTATTGCATTCAAACTTATGCAATACTTCCAAATTAATCATTTTTCGTAAAGTTTTGAAGTTGGCGTGCCTTAAACGTTCATGACATAAATTATTTGACTCAAGCAAGTAAGAAGAAGCTGAAATTTTATTCATATCAATGGCAATTACATTGAGTTTGAAAAGGCCCTCAGTCAGGTAATATTTTCCTACATACATTTCATTCTTACTAACTACAACCTTGTCGGAAACAAAAACACACTTAAAGCCATTCTTAACTAGAAGTGATGTCGAGACTAAATTCTTCCGCATTTCAGGAACATGAAGAACATTATTTAGAGTTACAATCTCGTCATAAGTCATCTTCAAATCTACCTTGCCCATTCCTTCAATTTTTGCAGTAGCGAAATTTGCCATAAAAACTGTTTCGTTGGGTCCAGTGGGAGCATAAGAAGTAAACAACTCCTTGTTAGCACAAACATGTCGAGTTGCCCCCGAATCAATCTACGATTCTCTAGGATTTCCGATTAGGTTGCATTCTGAAAGCATGGCACATAAATCGTCTATTTCATCATTCTTCTTAAACAAATTTGCTTGCCTTTTCTTTTTGTCCGTCTTTGGTGCACAACATTCAACAGCCTTGTGTCCAACATTTTCACAGTTGTGGCAATTACCTTTGAACTTCTTTTTGCTTGGGTAATTCTTTGGTCCAGACGGCTTCTTTCTCTTTTTGCTTGTCGAAGCTTCCTCAACAATATTTGCGCTCATTATTGTTGAATTTCCACGACACTTCTTTTCTGCAGCATTGTTGTCCTCTTCAATCCTTAGGCGAACAATAAGGTCTTCAGGCGTCATCTCCTTGCGCTTATGTTTCAAGTAATTCTTAAAGTCCTTCCACATTGGTGGCAACTTTTCAATAAATGCCGCAACTTGAAACGCTTCATTTATGACCATACCTACAATCATAAATTTAGGATTAATAATATAATCAATATCTGTAATAAAAATATTGATTCGATTTATACCTTCGGCAATGAGGTCATGAACGATGACTTGTAATTCTTGAAATTGAGTTATGACAGACTTATTGTCCACCATTTTCAAGTCCAAGAATTTTGAGGCAACAAATTTCTTTAGTCCAGCATCTTCCATTTTATACTTCTTTTCAAGAGAGTTCCACAACTCTTTCGAAGTCTCCATGATACTGTAAACGTTGTACAAGCCATCTTCCAAACAACTCAATATATAATTTTTGCACAAGAAGTCAAAATGCTTCCATGCCTCCGTGATCACAAATCGCTCATTATCCGGAGTCTCTTCTCCCAAGACTGGAACGTCCTCACTAATAAAGCGTTGTTGACTAAGAGTGGTCAGGTAGAAGAACATTTTCTGCTGCCAGCATTTGAAGTTCATGCCGGAAAATTTTTCGAGCTTTTCTGCCGGTGCCATTGCCGATCTAGGTGTTGTGCGACTTGAAGACGTCGTAGTCATTGCAGCAGTAGTAGAACCACTTTGTTGTTCCATACTTATTGTCATTTTTCTATAAAATAAATTGACACAAACAAAATTAGTATCCCGGTGAAGTTTTTATATCTTCAAACCGAATACAAACAACCGAGTTTTTATATCTCGGATTGAGTAGAAAGTCACCAAGACTTTAATCTCAAACTGGAGTAGAAAATCTGAAGATTTTAATCTCCAGAACATGAGTAGAAAATCAGTACGATTTTAGTCTGCTAAACCAGAAAGTAAAATGAATACATAATTTAAATTCCTTAAGCTTGTAAACAGTCTGTATTCAAAAAACAGTAAATCAACAAACATTAGTTTAAAAAACAAAGCAGAAATAATTCCGAGCCCACAAGTTCTTTGTGCTTCCTTAAGGAATTTAATCCCCTCACAATGCCGAAGCCGAAGCCGAGCGAGCGNTATATATACACAAAGATTTTCTTTCCTTCTTCCAATGAGGGACAAAGTGTATCAGTAAAATGAACTAATTCAAAATTTCACTTCCCTCCATTTCTTTTTCCACCGTTTTCCATTCAGACATCTTTTGTTATTAATAACAAAAACCCAACAATTACTTCGTACTTAAGTAAATTGAGATCCTCAGTTTCACTGTTACTCACCAATAAAATATTATCGAAAATTTAATTTTTAATTGTAAGGAATTTAAAAGTTAGTAATCATTATCATCCCAACAAATGAATGATTTGCAAAGTACTTAAAACATTTTGGGATGCAAATTGGCCGCTAGTGGATAAGGGCTAAGGAGATTTTGGCATGCAAAATGAGAAAGGAAAATGAAATAATACTTCCTTCGTTCAATTTAAATAACACAATTTCCTTATCAGTCTATTTAAAAAAGAATAAAATATTTCTACAATTGAAAATAACTCAACTCTTTATTTTACTTTTAATGAAAAATTTTTATAACCACATAAATATCATGGCCCTATAAAACTTTTTCCCTTGAATTTTTAAAATCACAAATTTCAAAAATTATTTTTTACTCTTAAATTCTGAATCGAGTCAAACTACTTCGTCAAAATTGAAACACGTGGAGTATTAGTTATTGTGTAAGAAAAGGAAAAGAAGGGAGGAATAAGTAGAAACAAGAAAGAATTGAAGGACTAGAAAGAGAAATGCACAAAGAAACCCACCGTTAGAGTTCTTTGTGCTTCCCCACGAAGTTTTAACGACTCTTTCTTTCGAGTCTCCCCTTCAAAAACGCACTCTCCCACATTTTTCTCCCTCCACTTTCTATCTACGTATCTCTCTCTCAGAAAAACTTCGAATTCAATTCCTTCATTCTGCATGTTCGAAAAATTCAGTAAAAATTCGTAGAACAGAATTTGCATAGAGAATAATGTCATTTTCAGATTCAGAAACGTCCTCTCATGGCACAGAGTATAGGAATTTCAAGCATGTCAGCCGTGATCGTAAGCAATTATATCGCATTTACTTCAAATTTCTTATTACTCAACACTTGTGAAATCAATGCTCAATTTTTTTTGAGAATTTGCGTTCGTAGCATACTAGCAATCCAACTAGTTTTGATAAAAGACTTTCCGTCCGTTAAAATCCTGATGACAGATATTAGATGCGATGCCTTTTGGTTCCTTTTACAAATCAGTTGCTTTAGTGTGATGGTTTTATTTTTCTATTAGGTCGTATAATTGCCATGAGAAATTTTTTGAGTCACACCTTATAATCATTGGTATTAAAAAAACTATTGCAATTTAGATGCTAATTACCCCC